CACACACACACACACACACACACACACACACACACTTCCCTGCCTACCTTCCCTTCTCCTTCCTCTCTCCTTTAGAGAGCTGCCCCAGTTCCATGTTACTCCTTTTTCTCCCTAGCCTCCTTGCTTCCCCAGGAGGAAGTGTTACCAGTATGGTAGAAAGCATGGAATTTGGAGTTAGATGACCTGAATTTGAGCCCTCAGTTCTACCAATTGTTAACTTTGTCAAGTTAGCTACTTAACTCCTCTCAACCTACATTTCATCATATATCAAATGGAGCTTTTATACAAAATAGCAAAGATGAAAGCACCTTACAAACTGAAAAGGACTGTATTAATGTTAGTGGATGCTGCTGTTATTCATCTGCTCCCTTCCCCGTACTTGAGGAAGGAGAAAGGACTGAATAGGGCAGGGGAATGGAGGTCTTGTGTTCAGAAGGAAAAACCAAACAATAACATCTTCAAACCAGATACTAGGGAGCAAGGCCTCTATTAAAATAGTCATTCCTAAAGTTCCTCAGGAAGAATCCTATTTACTACTTCCAAAACTGAACTCATTTAAGGGGCTCAGTCTGGGCAGGCCAGGAAAGGAGGCAGTTCTCTGATGACTCCTGGCAGACTGTAGCTGGTCCTTCTCCCGCCCCCTGCCTGTGCTACCGGTACCTACCACAGCCCCTTCCCATTTGTTATTATGAGACTGAAAAAGGAACTTAGTTATTGTTTGGGGTGTGATGGGAGTGGGGAAAGATCTTTTTGACTTTTGACCCCATTCTTTCTAGCAACCAAGTAGCTACTCTTCCCCTGGTGAGCACCGGCTGGACCTCTTAGATTCTACAGAGCTGAACATTGAGGCGAGTGTCCCAAAACAGGCTGTGGAAGGCAGGTTAAAAGGGATTGTGTGTGGTTGGGAAATGCTAGCAGGTGACCCGTGAGCACTGTCAAATATGTGGAAAGGCTGGGGCTGAGGGGGCGGGGAGTAGAATTGTCATCTGGAGGACCATATCGTCTTCTGTCTGCCCTTGGGCTATTGGTTACATCTATGTGTTTTCCTTCCATTTTTCTTATTATAGGATTTCTGACATGACTCTGTCCCTCTCTCCATCTCCGCTTCCCACCTCAATGACATGACCACTAGGAAAAGGCAAACAGGAGAAGGGAGCAAAATGAACCATTCCTCCCAGGCCCCAACCCCCTGACCTCTGAGAGGGGAAGAAGAGTTTGCCTTTCTAACCTAACCTTTCTCTCTGATGGCTCTGTGTTGGAATCAAGAAGCTTTGACACCCCATCCTTCTAATGCATTGTAGCCCTGACCCTCTGTGTGTGAGCAGAGCACCCATCTCCTGCTGTGTTTGGAGTATTGTGGTGTGGGGGAGGGGGCGCTCACCTCAGTATTTGGAGAGGGGCACTACCTCCATTGTTTAATGGAAGAAGACCACAGTTTTCCTGTATTTTTGGAACATCTTTCCCAGCCTCTCTTGTGCCCTAATGATACGCTGAATAAACATGTTTGAATCAGTTGGTTCCTAGGAGCTGGTTTGAGATTGTTAAGCTGATAGAGGTCAGCTTCTTTGTCTGCTGGTATCCTGTATACTGTTAGCCCAGTGTACAGATACCCCTCCCCCCAATGCTTTGTATACAGGTTTTCAAGGATGTATTTATTGCTTAGTAATTGGGAGACTTGGTGGCTGGATGAGGCAGAGGAGTTAGGGAGAGACTGGCTGCTTTTGAGTAGTTTATCTCATGCTGACAGTTTAGGCCCAAGTAAGGGAAAGCAGTGTTCTCACTGGCTGGAGGGTGGAGTGGGCACCTTTTGAAACACCTACACTTAGGCCAGGCTAGTCTATGCGTCTTGGCAGGTTTCACCCCAGGGTTCTTTCCAGGGGTGATTTCATTGCCTCAAAGATGCCTGTCAAAATTTGGAATTCATAGAACTGTAGTATCTCTGAGTTGGGAGGAAACTTAGAAGTTATTCTGAATGTCCAACCCAAAACCCAAGTCCTTGACACCTACTTCCCCTTAACCCTTGTCTTCTTCCATCTGATTCTTTACCAAGTCGTCTCAACTTGTTCTCCAAAATATATTTCTAACCTGTTGCCACTAGTTGCCACCATCCTATTCCAAGGCACCTTCATCTCTCACCTAGACACCCACAAAATAGCCTCTGGAAATCTGCCTCCTTGAAACTTTGACTTGTTTGTTCTTGTTGCTTCTTGAAGCAGCACAAAATACCTGTTCCCTCTTTTCTCTCTGACAAGCATTCACCCATATGAGAACAGTTGTCACTTTCTACTTTCACTGTTTTCTTCTGCAGTTTAAGTAACCCTTCAGCCTCTCCCTTCAGATATGATTTCCAGTTCTTCCCATCTTGGGTGTCTGCTAAATTACAGTTTCTCACTGTGGTCTCACAGGCTGAACACAGGCATCCAGTTAATGGTCTGTGCAGAAGGAACCATTACTTCTGTAACCAAGTCACGATGCCATCTCATAGCCATGTCACATTAATCTACTTTGTGGTCAGCCAAAACCATTTCTCGCCTCTCCTCCTTCCCCTCCTCTTCCCACCATTCTTCTCCCTTCCCCACCCACCGCCAGATAAAAGAAGTTGAGTTTGTGACTCTCATTTTGGAAACTCAGCCCATCAGTGCCCTGGGAGATGCCAACCCTGTCAAAGACCTTTATTTAGCCTGTATTCAGGTGGAACAGCCTCAAGGAGAAAAGCCTTTTCCATGGGATCTGAGAACAGAGTAGGAAAATACAGGAGTAAAGTATGCAGATCACTAAGGATCCAGGAAGGGAAGGATTCCAAGTTATTTAAATACCCGTCAACCTAAAGGTACGTCACAAGATCAAAAGAAAAACTTGGAGGCTTTGTGTAAATGTGGATATTTATGTGAAGCCAGACAGCCCAGTGTGGTAGATTAAACCCCAACCTTAGAACCTGTGGAACTTTTATACATGCTCCCCAAATTATTTGAACTCCTCGTTGTGAGGTTGGGTCCTCTCCCTTTCAATCTGGGTTATGTGATTGTTATGTGATTTTTGTAGAATATGGTAGAAGTGATCTGTCGGTTTTCAGGCCTAGATTGTAAAAGACACTGGCAGCTTCCACTTCTATCTCTTGAGATGCTTCCTCTTGGAACTCAGTCACTTTGCTGTGTGAAATCCCAAGCAGCCACATGGAGGGGCCATGTGTAGGTGTTCCAGCCAGCAGCCTAGCTGACATCCTATCTAGCATTCAGCGTCAACCACCAGCCTTTTGCATAAAACCTTCAGATGATTCTGATTCCAAACTTTTGAGCCTTCCCAGCTGAGGCCCAAAGCATCAAGGAACAGAGACAAACCTTCACTGTGCCCTTGCCAAACTTCAAATCCATAGACTCCATGAGCATAATAAAATGATGGTTGTTTACACCACTAAGTTTGGGGTGGTTTGCTGTGTAGCAAGAGTAACTGGAACAGAGCTATGGAGCCGTAAGACTCCAGAAGTTTGAGGAACTTCATCAGTTTAAAAAAATGTAATTACAGATTCTATAAACATTTACTAGTCGTTTATACATTGTAATACATATATAAAAAATGTAATGGATCAGTTGAAGTAAACATTTTATAATATTAACAGTACAGAATATCTTTTTGCTCTACAAAAACAATTTTTTTAGTTAAGATGTCAATACCACCCAAAGCAATCTATAAATTCAATGCAGTCTCCTTCAAAATTCCAACAACCTTCTTTGCAGAGACAGAAAAACTGATTCCCCAATGTATACGCAAGGTCAAGAGACCTTGAATAGCTAAAGCAGTCTTGAAGAATAAAGAGAAAAGTGATAAAATAAACGTTGAAATCATGGCTTAGCATTTTATGAAATTCTGGTTGAAAGTTCAGTTTTTTTTGATACTTAGGTTTGGTTTTCCTTTTATTGTGGTACAAATATACACAACAAAACAGCCAATTCAGCAGTTTCTGCATGCACAATTCAGTGACTTCGATTATACTCTTCATATTGTGCAACTCTTATCCCTGTCTTTTTCCTAATTACTCCACCACCATTACCATAAATGTATGCCGCTCAAGCAAAAAACCGCTTCCTCCCTCCCACCCTTGGTAACCACTAATAAACTTTGGTTTCTGTGTAGTGCTTATTTCATATAGTGAGGTCATATAGTATTTGTGACTGACTGATTTAGCTCAGCGTGATGTTTTCAGGGTTCATCCATGTTGTGGGGTGCATCAGAACCTCATTTCTCTTTATGGCTGAGTAATGGTCCATTGTATGTATGTACCGAATATTATTCATTCATCTGTTGATGGACATTTACATTGTTTCCACCTTGTAGTCACTGAGAAAAGTGCTGAGCCTGAACATTGGCATTGGCGTACAGTTTTCTGTTTTGGGCATATACCTAGGATTGGGATTACTGGGTCTCATGGTAGCTGCATGTGCCTTTTGAGGAGCCACCAGAATTTTCCATAGCAGCTGTACCGTTTTGCATTCCCACCAGCAATGCATGAGGGTTCCAGTTTCTCCACATCCTCTCCAACACCACTTGTTTTCTGTTTTTTTGATCTTTGCCATTCTAATGGGG